GTGCAGCGAGGCCCAAAGCATAAAAGAGAACGCAAAAACGAAACGAAACTGGACTCGCCCGAGAAAAAAACAAACGCCAAACGGGTCTAGACATGCACAAAAAACAAAAAACATGACCGTGTATCTGTCCGTATTTCAAGAGTCGTGCAGCGAGGCCCAAAGCATAAAAGAGAACGCAAAAACGAAACGAAACCGGACTCGCCGAAGAAAAAAACAAACGCCATATGTGTCAGACGTGTCAGGCACGTCAGAATTTTACATCAGACGTCTCCCGCTTCGTGATGCAAACGATCGCGCGTCAGAATTTTACATCGGAAGTCTCACGCTTCACAGTGCAGAAACACTAATGTGGACCATTGCAGATGCAAGACTCGGTGCCGCGGCCGATAAGCTTTAGTCGGATTGTAGGATGGCAGAGAATCGCAGCCAGAGAAAAGGTAGTCTAGCTCCCCTCCCCATCCCCCCCCCCCCCCCCCCCCCCCCCCCCCCCCCCCCCCCCTCTTCCTCTCTCTCTCTCTCTCTCTCTCTCTCTCTCTCTCTCTTACACACACACACACACACACACACACACACACTCCGTGTAGTATAATCCAGCCGGCGCTCTTTGGCGAGTGCTGTGCGACACCACCATGTGACACTACTTCACACACTACTGCGCATGAAAGCAGGAGCAACAAAAATCAAGCGCCAGGAGGCGCCCTGTTTTTATTTGGGCTGCGCATGATCAAACACATTGGGCGTGGTCGCAAATGAGAGGTTGGGCAACACCACAAGGAAGGCAGCTCAACTGGCTGCTGGGCCAGCCCATGAGCTCAAAGATTTCCCACATCATCTCAACAGAAGGCACCATGCAAGACCCCTCGAACAAAACCACTTCCCCACAGGTTAAGCTGGGCTTGTGCCAGTTCATGGTCCCACAGGACTCCTTGACGTGGGCATGCTCTGAGCAGAGAAATTTCTGGCAAGTTTTTCCCCACCTTCCATGTCCGTGGAGTACCCGGACATTTTGTTATGTGTTCAATTGTCACAACTCAAACCCGCATTCAAATGCTCCCATACACATCTGCAATGACAGGAAGACTGGAGAGAGCAGATTCGCACCATAGACATGGAGAGATATTGCACAGCGGAAGCCAAAGCCAGATATTGTAATGACCCGCCATAACACAGACTGAGAGCACTGCTGATTTCTGAAGTTCTGCAGATGGCATGGATGCCTTGCTGAGATTCCCGCATTCTGCTGAGTTTCTAAGTCTGTATGTGTGCCTGCCTGAGTGCTTGTCGGCATGAGTGTTTGTGACCCGCAAGGGTACTTGCTTGTTTGGAAGGCCCGTAGGGCCAGTACTTACCTGTGACCGTGATATTGAGGGTTGCAGCAAGGAAAACACTCAAGTAGCGGAGCCAGGGGCCAGCGGACCTTAGAGCAGCGGACAAACACTCAAGTAGCAGGTAGGCCGGTACCGCACCCAGTAGCGGTAGATGTGCCGAGTACTCGAGACCGAGCAGAAGAAGACAAAGTTGGCATTTTTAGAGGCCCAGTAGCGGTAGGCTAGGTTTAGGCCGGTACCAGTCCATCCAGTCCGAGTCTAGGGCCTGCACGGGCAATATCAGAGTCTGCAATGATGTTTCCCTCCGTAAGGGAGGAGGTACCGATTGCTTGGGAGGCCGAGCGGCCTGGAAGTCACCGCCCGGGAGGCAAGTAGGCCACTATATCAGGAGGCCGAGGGAAGAGCCCGACATCATTCTTCAGTGTGCAAGTTTGGCAACACGCTGCTGGAGCGCTGGCTGGAGGAGCGCTGGCTACTACAGCGCTGCTGGGAGCTTCCACCTTGGCTATGGTGGAGCTCTACCGGTAGTAGGAGGGAGAAGAGAACCCAGGAGGAGAGTGGCGAGGTACCTACCTGACTATGGGGAACACCATCTTCATCACCTTGTTAGGCACTGCATCTGGAAGGCCCCAGTTGGGGTAGTGCCGCATCAAGGAAGCTCGGGACAGAGTCAGGCATGGCGGCTGAATGGGCAGCGACATAGCTGCCTTGTGTTGACCTTGGGACAAGAGAGCAGCGGCATAGCTGCTTTGGGTTGTCCTTTGGACAGGATGGTAGAGCCCTCAGTACTCCGCCATAGCCTTGGCCTACATGAAGAGGTAGAGGAAGGGTGGCCATGGCTATGGCGGACCTCATGTTGTGTGGAAGAAAAAAAGAAAAAAAAGAATGATTTTTACTCAGTAGAAGAGAGATTCAGACATTGATTCTGGTGTTCATTCAACATTATTAATGTTATTTCTTGTTTGAATAAGAGGGGAGGAGATAAGGAGGAGGAGACTGGTTGGGGAAGACGAAGAGCATTATCTTTGGTCTATGCTGGAGTACATCATCTTCTTCTTCTTTCCCTCTCTCTCCTCTCTTTTTGCAATTGGACGGCATTGTGCTTTCTGATGATGGAACAATATAAAAATTGAGAGAAAAATGTTTCAATCAATTATTTATTACACCCCCTGCTCTCCTTCTCTCAACCGAACAACTCCAAGAATCTCAACCACGAAATCTGTTCCACCTCCAATTAACCCCCGACAATACACACCACTGCAACGTCCGCTTTTCCCTACGACCCCCAGCCTCCAATGATAGCCCACTGTTGAAAACAACATCTCATCATGCCACCAGCCTGTGAGTACAGGTGCTGATCTGGCATGCGCCAGATATCAATTTGCAGCGCTGCAAACCACCATGAAGAAGAAGGTGAACCTCGATGAAGAAGATGATGGCTACCCTGGTATGGCAACAACCAGCAACAAGCCGCTTGATGAACAGCAGCGTCTTTCAAACTGCACAAACGGCAGCGTGATGGCAGTGGCATTAGCACCTGGAAGACCTCCTACCGGTGCTGCCTCCTCAAGCAGCAGGGCGCCCCAGCTATGGCTGCCCAAGTTCCCCTTCGAAGAGCAAGAAGACTGAGCGCTGGAAATAGTGTCGCTCCTGTATTCCCGCCGCCACTTCCAGAAAATGAGAAAAGAACCTCAAACTTCTCGGTCTCTCCCTACAACTACCCGACTTCCCTAGACCTACAACATAGCAGTCACCTACAAACCTATCTGACCG